TTATCTTTCTTTTACAAACAAGCCAACAAGGCTGCAAACAAACAGACGAAAGAGTCTCCGGTAGTGGATTAAAAAGGTATCAATTTTTTGGCCGCTCCATATCAGCTTCCTGCCCCAATGATGCAAAAAAACACCTACTTAATTCAGTAGGTCATTGTCTTCGGTCCTTTGCCATTATCATCACAAATTTCACCATTGCTGCTGCTGCTGCTGCTGCTGCTTCCTCTACTGCAACTTACTGGAGGCGCAAGGGAGGTGGAAGGGGAGTGATTGGGATTCCACAAGAGTCCGGAAAAGGAATGATATGAATGGTGCGCAAAAAAGGACTCATTTCTGTTCATTAGCACAAAGAGAAGGAGATGGAAGGTGGAGGATGCGAAAGGAGTACAAGGAGGCAATACAGCACAAAGAGCTCATCATGATTAATAGATGGCGATCAGTCATCCCCATTTTTCTTCTTCTCCTTCTTCTCTTGGGTGTAGGCTGGCATAAGCACTGTTAAGACTGTTTATGCGCGCTTGGTTGTCAAATAATTCCGATGATCGAAGTATTGTATCGCGCGGTGGCATCGAGTCAACTCACCAAAGGAATGGTGCTGACGATGCGCAAGAGTAGAGAGTTAATAGAAATGCCGATGGAACGTGTGTTTAGATTACTTCTATTTTTTCGTCAAAGAATAAATTATTACATCCTTCTAACATTCCTGCATTCGTAGATTATTCTCAAGTGAAGAGTGTAGCCTTGACAAATGCCTGTACCTCGATGAGAGGAGCAGGGCAAAACCTACAAAGCGTCAACGCAGTATAGTACAAGGAATTGGACAAATTATCCACCGTTGCAGCTCCTGCTGGTTCAGTCCTCATAGCTGTCAGAATTTTTCTGTTTAAAAGGATTTCTGGATTGCATTTTGCAAACTAAGCTGATGGCCTCTTTTAGGCATCCAATACACATGTGGCTTGTCATATCTTCTGATCTTGCAAGTAGTAGTTCTTCACATTGACGCGCAATTTTGCAGAAGACCGAGTGTGTGAGCGGTGCTATTGCATACTTATTCTACAATTTTCGTAACTCTACGACGCCTTACATCAAGAAACCACCGAGTGTTCCATGTCAACCCCTGTCTTTAATCAGGCCAACGCTGGATTTTGCCTTCCGACCACGAATTTTCTTGTCTTCAAGAGATCTGTTGTGAAAATAGCAACATTTTCTGCTGGTTGGCGCTCGCCTGTCTAGTCTACTGATTGAGGCTGGTGCTAGCGAAGACAAATTACGTGCAAATGATAGGTTTGCAACCGTACCGCTGCCATTGGTAGCCAAAATGAATTTGGGCGATAATATGGAGGAGATAGTACTTTTCGATTTTCTAATCAGTCTCGCCCTGGACTTCTAAGCTAAGCAAGAAGCCCAGCAAAACGCTTGTAGTAGACCTACTATTTCAAATTAGCCACAAAGCCGCATTTGCTTAATGGGCGCCCTAATTTGATTGACGCACTTTCCACTCGCTGTCATCACGTTTGACGAGATGCCATGCGCATGCTTTAGTATTCAACATTCACCTCAACATACGGTCAAACAACAATTTCAACTATTAATTGGTTTCTCAACTACCTTTACGAAAAGCTTCACATTGTAAAAGGCTTTTGGATTTGTGTAGCCAAAACTGATAAGATCGGTGTTTAGAAAGTGCCATCGCTTTCCGGGCATTGTTCAGAGGACATAAAGCTCCATTACCAAACAATTTAGCCGCCCAGTCATCATCTGTTACCGCAAACGCCACTTGCAACCATTGCAAAGGAAAAGGATTTGGCATTTTTTAAATTAATAAAATTAGTTTTCTGTAGCTTACATTCTAACTAGGATTAAGTAGACCTTAGCTACTTATAAGATTTATGACCCATACAAAGAGTACGTGGTCAGATAAACCATTACATTGAGTGGCAGAGGACGTGACAAGCATTACTTAATAGGTTTGATCTCTCAGCCACGTGAGTCTCAATCTCAGAACTTCAATGCACGAAGGTGGACACGGTTTTAGGCAAGAAGTCAGCCTCAAGGGTTTTAATGCAAACCAACCTCGAACACACAAGGTGCCTCAGATCAAAGCGTACCTTCATGTTGCTAGAGAAAAAGGGGAAACGTTAGACGTCCGCAAGAGATTTATTGGATTAGAGACAAAGGGGAAACTGCACGAATGCAAACCTATTGGTAGGAGACTTGGAGGAACCTATCAAAGCCATTAAGGGAAGAAAGAGAGTTTGCTTCCAGTTGAGGCTGGATATCGAAGTGCTATTACTGAAACAGAATGACGTAGTTAACAGTCAATTGGTCTAACTTATTTGATTTGCTTGTATGTATACTCTAGCGATTTCCCTTAGGGAAAATATCTGAAGTTCCACTTATTATATATCGGTCTATATAATTAAGGAGAAGAGTAGTTCCACAAATGCTGACAGAGCTACAAACCTCTCACCCTATCCAATTTTCACCTACAACGCTTTAAGTTTCCAATACCTTATGGGTGTGGAGCCTTTCTTTAGTTGTTTGCGAAGTGTGAATTTTATTTGCTATCAAAGTTGAGCCAACTTAACGTCAGTAAATGCATTCAAATTCTCAATTGTTGTTATTTTAAGGAATAACGATGTCTTGGTCTCTGTAGAGCATTTAAAACAAGCAGACCTTTTCAACCTTTAAGGAGGTTAATCACCTGATTGTTTAAAAGGTTGTTAGCCCATTCCACACCAGGAAAGTAAGATATTTAAATGCATTGAAACGTAGGTAAAGTGCTCAAAATGTAATATAATCTACCCTTGAAACCCTAAAAGTATGTGTGAATGTCTATTTACCCTCTTCATGCACGCTGGGTAAGACTCGGCCCAACTAATGGATAGTTCTGGTAAGGTGTGCCTATAGATTAGGCGAAATAATTGTCGTAACTGTTGATTAAATTGACAAATAATCGTTTCAGAAAGAATCAGAAGCGACTGGTAAGCGCTGGCATTCACTTGGCTCCATTAACTCAAAGTTTAGAGGTTTTAAAAAATGTACTTACTAAATGTAAGTAAAACAAGTAACAGAACATCGATGTCAAAGGCTGAGCTACTTAAATATCCTTCCACTGGTTTGCTACTTAAACATATATCAGTAGCAAGACTCAAGGCAACATCTTGCAAAATTTGGGAAACAACATTCCAATTTGTCCAGTTTCCCTGTCCCATGCAAACGTTTGCGACCAGTGTGGCACCGCCATCTATGTAGGCTATCCAAAAGCTGTAGAGACAATGGTAGGAAGTGTCCAAGCGAACTTGAATGAATTCACAACAATAATATAAGGTGGTGACTTTGGAGGAGAGGTCATTCGGATTGCGGATACTCGTGAACACCTGTACTTCGGATTGGCGTACACCCAAGTATTTGCGTGACCGAGTAGCCCTATGATCAGGTTAAATTAACAGAAAAGCCGTTAACAACTACACAATCTCCTACCATCGTTCGGTGTGGGGGCGGTTACTAACATGTAACAGCATCCAAGAGCTAGACTTTGAAACAGAGCTTGTAAGCCCTACACCACTGACCCCTGAGGGTGAACGGATTTGTTATTACCGAAACTGTTACTATTTCTAGCACTGGTCTTGAAACCATCCCCAATCGAGGCGTAAACAGCCATCTGAGGGGCATGCTTATCCATCAGTGGGATTTTTGTTGTGCAATCCTAATGAATTCCCTTACAGGCCGTTGTAAGGCCAGAATCTGCATCTCCAGCAAACATTGATGGAGTACCCACGGAGACACTGACTAAACGTACCTTCAACAACTGATGATGAGCTGGACAAAACCATCTTTATTCTTCCCGTTCCAAACAAATATCTTCTCACAGGACACTTAAAATATTCTAATCTTATCATTCACAGCAGTGAATTAGATAAAGTCAACCACTATAAAAGGCAACTTAATTGTCCTCTTGAGAACCTCAAGCAAGAGTGCGTATCTGCATTTCTCACCCGGTGGCGCATATACTGCAACCGAAGGCAGTCCTGTGGCTCACCTCTCATCGTATGCGACTTAGTCCAAGGTGCAAGACTGCGATTTGCTGTAGATTAGGTCTAGCCATTTGCCTGTGAGCTAAGCAGAGACTTGCGCGAACGTCAAATCTCAGGATCTATTTGAATTGAAAAGCCAACCCAAGTCATCACCCGAACTCCTCGCTCACAATTTCATCCGCTCATATTGGAACGCCAGAGCCGACCCAAACAATTAACCAAGGATTACATGCATGGCGCTTCGATCCGACATGCAGGACGGACTTTTAGCAGACGGAATAGAAAACGAGGCAAAATGGGGGTTTCTAGATTACCTGAAGGCGTAATCTTCCCGAGGACAACGAACGAACACAGCCTCAGTGTAATGAAAAGGCGATTATCTTGCTCAAATGTCACAAATTTATAGTGGTACATAGGCGAACGCACACACGAAGAGGGAGACATGGTCAAACCGGCGGGAGGTGAATTGGGGGTGGGAAGGCGGAGAAAAGGTTCTGCAGAAGATGGGTGCACACACAAACACTCTTATCGAACGCATGTATGTGTGAATGTGGTAAAATAAACGCTAAAAAGCGTATATTAAAGCTGAATTGGTCTGTTTTTCTTCGAGAGAGGGTGAGATAGATAGAGTGCAGGGAGGAAAGGCTGTTGGTGCGCACGGCACAAAAATAACTCTGTGAATGTATGCTCGAATTCAGTAAATATATGTAATATACACTCGCACAAGAGAACGTGCCTGTGTACTAGAGAGCAAATCCTTCACGCAAGGCCATCCAAACGATGAGAAGGGGAGGGTGTCAGAGACAAAAAAACAGGGTTTCGAGGACACCAACGCCCTCAAAGATGAGTTAAAAGTGGTGAAAGTGGCAGCGGTCGGAAAATGCTCGGTGTGGCGATTCTAAGGAATAGGGGAGCGGAAAACAGCGGGATCTCGGTATGTACATTTGAATGGGCCCAGCATGATCAAGAGTGGTGAGGCGGTGGTTGAGGTGTTGAGAGTACCAAAGAGGAGGGACCACCAGTTCCGAAAATTCCCAAAGCGGCGTTCGGGATGTAGCCAGCACTAGTTCCGCTAGACCCAGCTTGCGACTGGTTGGCACCAGACGCTTGCTGTTGACCACCAGACAATGTCTGGGGGACTAAATTAGTAGTTGACGGGGGAAGACCAGTAGGACCAGGTAAGGATCCAACATCCACACTGTGTCTACAAGCATAAGGGAATGCAAACGTAGAATTAACATTGAACCAACAAATAGCCCGAGAAAGATTAAATACAATGACGTAGGGATGAAACTACCTTGGTTACTGTACGCATCAACGTATGCGAATTGCATTACCCAAGTTTTCCCAGACAGAAAGGAGTAGATATTGGAGAGGCTTTACAAAAGCTAGAAGGAGGACTCACTTGAGCTGAGCTTTGGGCTTGAGATAATCATCGTTGTATAGCTGAAACACGTTTGGCCTGAGTTCTTTTTGGTAAGTGCAGCACTTTCGGATGAACTCCTGCAAACCACAAGAAAAGGCATCGAATCAAGAGATGGGCGATCCAGTAGCATGCACAAAAGGCCACGGCTGCTTCTTCGACTTATGTGTACAAAGTCTGATTATTGAATGGTTGCTAGTGTGACGTCAGTATAGCGTCACACAGAATCAAATGCTTGAGCACAACTAAACTCCAAAGGCACACGAAAAACCCACAATGGCAGGTAATGATTGGTATAAGGTGAGGCGTGACGGCACGAGTGAGTGGCTGTTAACAATAAACCATTCGACACCACCCGTAAAACGCAACTACCCCACGAGTGGGGAACGAAAACCCAATTCTGTCGCATCAATGCTAATAGTCTCCGACTCCTGATGAAAAAGGATCTGAGCCACTGCAACAATATGATACATATTTGAATATAATCGGGAAAAGTAGGAGAGTGAAGGATGAAAAGAAATTTACCTTAGCCCCATCACTGACTTTTGGTGTAGAAGGAAAAGCAATAGAGCGAGCATGAAGGATGGTGTTCTGGTGCAGTATGTCCGCTTGCGACATATTGTGTCCGAAAGGCTGAAAGTTGGTGAAGCAGGTTAAGTAATCAAAGCTTACAGCATTGAAACACCAGAAATTTAAATTCAATGTTCCCACGCTCGTGCGAAAAGTGGAAAGAGCTGTCTTTCAAACCAACCAAATGTAATTGTGTGTTGCAATTTAGCCTAATCAAGACAAAAACATCAATTTCTCACGCATAGGTGTAAAAAGCCTTTCACAATCACACAGATATGTTTTTTTACAATGTCTATAAAGCATGTGGGCTGTGGGCATTCACTGAAATGCGAACATGGCCAGTTTAGAACAAAATGAAGAAAAGTAAGATGCATGCGCATTGTTACTGTGAGAAGAAGCGCAGAATAGCTGATCGGGTAGGAATTAGCAGATTTCAGTGTCCATAATAGTTTTTTAGTGCGTAAGACCAGAGAGAATAAGCACGTGTCGCAGCACGAATGGAAGTACAAACAGGATGAGCTGAGTTCGGGCGTAAAGTTCATCCAATACTACCACACCTCAAGACACGTCTGAAAGACGCACACCAGTCCAAATTTCGTTAAACGTTTGACCCACTCAAATTAGCCGTTGAAGAGGAAACTTTTCACATTCATCAATGGCACGCCTTTACGGATGAACGAAATGGGAATAAGTGTTGGTGTACTTATCGTTGTAAGAAGACCGGTGAATGTGGTCATTTACATTATTTTCATTAATTTAGAAAGGTCTGCGTCTTTTTCATGATTGAATTAGTATAAATGAAACTGACTGCAAACCTTTTTTCCAAAGAGGCACTGAAAGAAGATGATGCCTACAGACCAGATGTCCACTTTGGAGGAAATTTTAGGAGGTTCATGACCAGTTTCAAAGCACTCAGGAGGAAGATACCAATAGGTACCGGCGCCTTGTGACGTTAGGTCCATACCCGTATCAGGGTTGTACAAATCCTCTGTCATTAGCTTGCTCAGACCAAAATCGGTTATCTTTATCTCGCCAGAGATTTCGCCAGACCCCAGTAGAATATTTCCTGTAGAACAAGACCGTGAAAACGGAAACTGTCATGTTCGATTAAAAGCATGCCACCATCACTTCAACGCTACAATCAGTGACTCTCATTAAACAATCAAACATCTTTTCGTTAGTTTAGGAGCATTTTATCTTCAGCAAAAGCTTGGTGCTAAAGTGAAGTTATATTGGACAAAAAAATTGATAAGAATCTTGCGCACCTGGCTTCAAGTCATAATGGATGACAGGGGGTTTTCGTTGATTCAAATACTTGAGAGCCGAAATGACCTGACAAATTATAGACTTCGCCTCACGCTCTGGTATCACTTTGTTTTGTTTCAGGAAGAAATCCAAATCGTTGCCTTCACAGTACTCCTGAATAGTGCAGAACCTGAAACCAACACGTCGACTGTCATCAACGCGGGCACATGCGCAGGCACGAGGAAGATTTAGGCGAAAGCCAAGTGATGGCCTTTATTGGCGCACCAACAAACATACACACAAAACTGTAGATTTAGGGTGTGGAATACACACGAGGCAAATGAGCGCTGGCACTACATTATTCTCCTTACGCCCATCCGTGGCACAGTAAGCCCCAAAACGAGGAGATACGTGCGTCACGGAACACGCGTAAAGGGTTGCTAGATAGGACTAGACTTACGCGTCGTGGTCAATATCAAAGACATCGAACACCTTGACTATTCGCTGATGGTTGAGCGTCTTGTGTATTTCGATTTCTCGAAGGGCGTGCCTACAAATTAATGTAATGAAGTGAGCGAAAACCCAACCTCACATCGTAGCATCTACCTAAGAGAGGAGTGCATAGCAAAGAAAATGCGCTGGCAGACTTCTTTTCCATAGTCAAGCAATGTGAGGTTTTCAAAGCAACCAAAAGTAGTAACATTTGATGAGAGCATTGTTAAAACCACATCTTTAGAAAGGAACCGAAAAATTAGTGATGCTACATGAAAGAACGGAGGAATAATCTCACTTTATGTAGTTGTCTTTTTTGTCTTTAGGCCAAGCGGGATTAAGTTGATGTATTTTGCAGGCAACGTAACGGTTCTCTTGCAGGTCAAAACCCTGTAGAAACGAATCGAGCGCATATCGTTAACACCGCGATTGAATATACAACCAATATATGGCAATAGTAGACACTCAGAAATGATATAAAGGGTTAGACCATAAAAACAAACCAATGGACGTAACGCACCTTATGAACCTCAGAAAACCCGCCCTTGCCAAGAAGGTTCAGCAGTAAGTAGCGCTCATTCAATAAGGGGTGGTCCTTAAATCGTGATGCATCCTCGTTGGCTATTCGTTTGATTTCGCGAATATGCAAGTTCCTTTCCCTGTCAAGACGCTCAAGTTCACTTTGAATCTCTTTATCTTCTTTTGCTAACATTTGCTTCCGAAGATCATATATCTCTATTTGCTCGTAAAACTCGTCCACCGAAACTCTAAAAAACAAAAGCAAACGCTGAAACTCAATGGTTAAAGTTTGCATCATACGGGTCATTTAAAAGAAATTTGTAAATGGTGCAACGATGAGACCAAAATAAATCCCCTTCATTTGTCACTAACTGAGCAAATTGTATTAGACAAAATGTACTGATGAATTGGGAATCCAATTTGTTTGAGTGTGATTTGGGAGCTAAAACATTAAGCTAGCTAATGCGTGGAGGGTAAGTCACAGTAAGCACGCGTCACTCGCCTTAGCCGCAAGCAGAACTTTTACAGAAAACAATGATTGCCAAAAGATAAACACATGAGACCTGCCCAAAATGCATCCCGAACTACGCGAAATATTTGATGTCCAGACAGGGCTGCCTGCAATCCCAGCCCCCTTGATGAGCTAGAATCGGCGCACACGTAAAAAAACGGGACCGACAACCCAACCAGAATACACTCATTGTGATGGACCATAGTACAACGAACGGTACACTTATTATTAGCATGACTTCCTGATCTTTCACATGTTCGGTGCTAAGGAGCTGCGTCTCAACCGCATTCAAATAAGGTTACGGTAGCAATTGGATTGGCAAATATAAAGGCGCAAAAAACTAAGGATTCAAATCAATGTACTAATCGCTAAAACTCACTCCTCCCAACGCGCTTTGCTATTCTTTTTGTTCTCAGATCCTGGTTTACGTTTGTTCCACTGCTTCCGCTTTCTCTCTATTTCTTCACGAATCCCTTCTATGTTTTTTCGACGACTGAATTATGAAGAAGAAATAATTAAAAAAGGTTACTCTGGCTATGCTTTGCCTTCAATTCTACACATATTTAAACTGAACATGCTGCAAAGCTCAAAGAATACCTGTGTACATATCAGGAGACCATAAGATATTCCTAATGCGTTATGCAACTTACGCATCGAGTTCCTTGAATCGATATCCCTCAACCCACTTCTCTTCGAAGTGAACACCCTGTCGTTGAGTGATGAACTGGCCAAGTCGCAGTCGGTCATCCATTACCTTCTGTCGAGTGGTCTTTCGCTCCAGCAGACTCTATAGGACACAATGATCGTTAAGCATGGACACATTCAACATTTTGCAGAACAGCGTGCAGGCGCTTAAATGGCACCTAGCTTTCAGTCATGTGAACGAGGTGAAAATTAAAACGAGTGTATTGTAAAAGAGAAGGATATCAAAGCAAGACTTATTAATTTACAAATAGAAAGATGATTTCGATAAAGGCGCAGGAAAACAATGTAATGCACCTTTTCAATGAGGAGATCCTGGATGATTTGTCGTGATTTGAGGCTATGCTCATTGGCAAGTGCGATAGTCTGTTTTTGAGCGCAATTTTCTAGCTCAAGCTCCGAAATCCGCCGCTGCAAACTCTCGACAAGATTGATAGATGACCCTGAGACGGTAGACGCCTGTTGAAGCGGCATTGTAGACGTTAACATAGCGGGAGCAGATGAGGTGACAGCGTCCGGATCAGTCTGCACAGAAGTGCTGCAGCAGATAACATAGCCGCCAGGGGCGGGACCGTTTTGCTGAACAGCTTCGCTCGAGCTATCACTTGGACTTGTCACACAACTGTTGCTTCCTCCGCGGACAGGAGATAGCATTTGTCGAGGCGTGGGTACAACCGCATCGGATTTAATATTGTTTTCAAGTTGAGGATCCTCACTGCTTGGCGCAAGCAAACCGATTTGAGGAGTCTAAATGGAGGAGATAACTAACTTGCTTCACAAGCCATGAGCCAGGACCTCGGACTATTTTAAGATATAAAACGGAAAATACGGACGCAAAATACCGTAAGACAAAAAGTAATGGAGTAAGTAGTCGGAATACCTTAAAGATCTCATCGATACGTTTACTACCCCTGTTGGTGGAACGCTTCGGTTGTGGAACTCCCTGCTCATCGAAAATGCCGCCTTTTCGTTTTCGACGTATGCTGCTACGGGGCGTGGTAGGCTGAACAATCTGAGGCGCGCTGGGCGAACTCAATCCGCTACAGCGCTGAGGACCCATAAATTGCAACGATGATGCTATGGGAGCGCCAGAGAGATTTCTACCCTTCTTAGGAGATGTGGTAATGATAGCGGGGGAATCGTTCGGAGGTAGCAAGGGAATGGATTGGCATCCAATATCAAAAGAGACAGATTGATTAGAAAGTGCACTACTGGTGGAATAAGGAACAATGTTAGCCTGACGGCTGGTACCACATATTGGCGGAGCATGACCAGCAACACTTTGGGGGTAACTTTGAAAGCCAACGACACCTTTATTGGAGTGACCATCTCCACTGAGACTACTAACACCGAGACTGTTTTCTTCTGCGTGATTACTGGGAGGTTGAACAGTCATGTCGACTTGGTGACCAGAGGAAGGGAGAGAGTCAAGAACTCTGGAGGGATTCGAACCAGGATTTTCAGGATTTATTGTGCAATGCTCCTCATTTTGATTGGCCAAAGGAGGATTTATACGTTCCGGATCGTGTGTCGCCTGGAATGAATTCGGAAAAGTAGAATTAACAACATTGGCTACAGGGGTTCGGTAGGTATGCCCATCATGACTTTTTGTCAATGACGTGGTGCAGACAGTTGATGTCACAGTGGGAATAGGTACATCCATAGAGACAACATCACCGGTATTTTGTACAGAGTCATACGAAGTGCCATACTTAAATCGATCATCCGCTGAGAGCTGGTTAGAATTGGCATCGGGCGACTTTCCCGTTTGCGCCACAACATTTGGACTTCGTGTGCCCTGAATTCTGGCTTCCAAGAGTTCGCGCTTTAATGGATCAACGTGGAGCGCCATAAACAATTATGTTTGATGATAAAAAGGAGGAAATCTCGATAACGTTAAATCTGAAAACCGTAACTTGTACAGAACAGTCGTGATGCGTCAGAAGCAGATTTGCATCTCTTTTAACGAAATGCAGGGTTTTGATTTATAACAACGCAAAATTTTGTTCCTTGAGGAAATTGGAAATCATCAACAGAACCGAAGAGCGTCGCAATTGGCCACAAAGAACCAACCAATAAAGTCCATAAATTCCAACGTCGAAAGTAGCCGGGTCTTTTGACCCCCTTAAGGTTATTAAAACAAATAAATTCGCACTGTAACAGGAAAAGCCATTTAAAGGTGTGCAAATGCAAAAAACTTAATTTATTTAACAACCTAGGTTAAAATAAAACAAAACACTTAATTTTATATTTTTCAATCAAGTCATAACTTTTTATTACTTAACGATTTTAGTTTCCTGATTAGTTAACTCTTATATGTTCATAAGCTTTATTTTTTATTATTTTTAATTTTCTCCTGGATGACGGTCGTGCTAAAGACCAAGCTTGTCTCGTCCCAGGTAAAATGAAATTTTACTGGCTAACAACAAATAATTATCCCAAATGAGGACACGGTTTTCAAACCAGAAGTAATTAACTTTCTTAGGACTTTTCGATGAACGTTATAAAGCACACTACGAGGGCATATTACTCGCGCCTATACAGGAACTTTAGATATGGAACTCGAATTCCAGCCCACACCTCAGAAGCACGAAGACTTTAGAAGTGTCTAAAATGGTTCATCTATTTGCTTGCTTGTATTATTGATGGCTAATTTGGCGTCTTACCTGTTCGTGCCGTGTGGAATGACCTTCCATTTCTCTCTGCATTCAAGTACTCGGCCATGTTTGTAGCCTTCTACCAATAGATCCAAAGTCAATGACTGACGAATCAGACGGTTACTTTGGTATTCGTATAGCCATTGCGCGTGTGGGCTGACCTTTGGACCAAGCTCAGTTTTCATCTCTTTCCTCTTACTAAAATACATGTGTTAAACCCAACTTAATGCCTTCCTCTACATAATGGGAAGTCTCCGGACGCTAAAGTGGCTACCACTTATTCAGGTAGTTAAATAACCACTGCTCTAAGAATTTTTCCATCAAGCAAAGGAAGCCATTGAGTTGGGTTGAACATATGTATTCTAGGAGGAGAAAGAGGGATTAAGCCTAAGCGCGGTCCGGCGACCAATCGGCGGCTACAAGAGCCAGAGTAGTGCAAAAGTGTTTTCCGCACACCAAGCGACCAAATAACCAAAATATTGAATTGCTCACTGCCCTTTGGAGCGAACTCCTTAATACACCTCTTGTGCAAGCAACCATAACGTATTGGACAATTCTCGGATGCACCCATTAGCCAGTTTCATCAGTCACCAGCTTCAATGGAATCGAAGAAAGATGTGTTGTACTTCATTAGTCTAAAATGGGCCTAGAGTTGCGTTAGCCCTGAAACTCTGTTAATAATACTTAACAAAAACAGATTCGTAACTGGGAAAAAGTAGTAGAATACAGTCCTGCATAAAAGAGAATTCTAGCTTAATGTCATTGCAGACATCTACGCGCGAATATGGTAAGGGGAACTTTCTAGACGCCTCACTTGTTATCATCTAGCCTGTGTTACACGTAAATGGGGCGAACGTTGCTCTCATCCATTCTGCTCTCCCCCATGAAGGTGTTTGTCGCAAATGGTGGAAAACTCCGGCTAGCACTCCGCTGTAGCCAATATGGAATTCCGCCACTCACAAATGTAGCCGAATAAACAAGGTATTACAGGCTGAGCAATATTCTCACCTCTGAAATTACTCTTGTCGTGTCGTTCCACTTTAATGGGAATCAATAACCTTTATGGTGAATTCGTTGCTGACATATGCAAGAGTCAAGCGATTTAAACCTGCCTAAGAAGTTAATCGTGTTAATTGCAATAGAACGGCTGAGCCCAAGCCTAAATGCTCAAAAGTGATGTGATGAACCACATTCATTTCCTAACTTGCAAAAAAATAATCAAAGTGTTCCACTAATCAGCTGCAATACGGTCTCCAGCTCTAGAGTGCTTAAATGCACTAAAAGGGGCAAACCTAACATGTCAGAGTATCACTCACAAACTGCATTAATAGAAAAGCCCTAAATGACAGCCAAAAATGAACTGGTAGCGACCCTTCCGAGGCAATCATTTGGTTCACGCTATGTCCGTAATTTGAAGTAAAATACTTGTAGTGTAGGATTTATACCAATAATGTATTATGGGTCAAAAATTTCGGCTGGGATTTCAGTCTCCATTCCTTTGATAGCTAGCGTTTCCATACAGGCAATCTTCGCACCTCTTTAGCATGCAAGAAATAACCTTGACAGTGTCGACTAAAGGCCTGGATCCATGCCTGGTAACTAGCTCCAAGGTCTTTAATCATTTGGCTTTACTGAGTAAAACATATCCACGCCTCACTTCGAAGGATCCACAGTCCGATAGAGGGCGCGACAAGTTGTACATCGGTTCAGATCGATCCCATCAGTTTGACGTTTTCATTGGGTCACTTGGAGGTCATGTAAAGTTGGGGATCCAATTGACTAATTTTCGTAACTAGTGCTGAACTTGCGGTTCCCGAAAACTACAACATATGCTCGAACAGAAGCGCATCCATACTAGAAGTTGTACTAAAGGTATGAACATCGCAACAAATCAGAGGGTAGTAAAGCGTTCACAGTGCTCTGTACAGCAGGTCCTAATATCAAACAAGTACTGCCACACTTCTTCAAAGCTAGGAGCTCACTACATTTTCACCAGCTGCCAAGTTTGGGGAACATCAAATTGACCGTCAGATCGGCAGCTTGTTAAGTTTTGGTATCCGACAGGTGGCATAAATCCAACGGTATGTCCCTATTGCTTCGAGAATAATCTTAGTTCTAGGCCATGCGCTACTCATAGATAAAAGGTAGATACTAAATACACTAGATTCAAATCAAAATTTACCATTCTCAGACCGGAATGAAGACGAGGGATCGTGATACTATGCGCACTCCACTTCATTGATCAAGTTGAATGTGAAAACGAACCTGAATGTCTTCATACCCTTGGGTTACTTGCACGTGATTCCGTTTATTACACCCCATTTGGGGCCTATTCTCCCTGATGAATGAAGTGCATTTCACACTTTGGTCCATCTAGCGTTAGCCAAATAAGAATCAAGAAATGTGAAGGAAAAAGTGTTACAGTGATTACTTTTTAGGCACCTCAAGGCCAACCCACATATAGACATCCGTGCCTTTGGTCTGTTAGTCGAACGGCCTGGTGTACTATACTGGGCCTTTGCTGAGTAAGCAAGGTATACAAGAAACATTACTTTATTAAAGAGCAATAACTTTTTGAAATCTTATCAGCTGCTTAAGAAAAGCATTTAAATACGCAGTAACAGAACCAAGGGGAGGAACTTGGTTTTGGCCCCACGAAGTATCCAGGTTTGTATTATAACAAACCATCTAAATATTACCTAGCGCAGTCGATAAAGTTCTCCAGCTGTCATGTATACAACTGACATCTATGATACCTGTGGCTACAATGGAATTAATGTACCTGCAAGACGCCTCCAACAAGAATAAATAAATCTTCTGTGTACATCCCAGATGAAAAAGAGTCGACCACACTTTCGATGCAATAAGGTGATCCAGAGGAGACGTTGCTTTCCTAAGACGCATTTACTAATGACGCTGACTACGTACGATCCGGAGGCAGTGGTCAGTGGCGTTATTTAGAAGAGAAAGCATTTCCCCACTCGGATAACCAAAAGAGCTACAATTGAACTCCCTCATAAATGTCGCCTTCATGTCATCTGGAAGCAAGCAGACAGCATTAAAAGCAGAAAAAATGTATCTGCGCTTGGGACTACTCCAGCGGAAGCTTGCGTCTCCAAGCGAAAACAGCGCGAGCACGAAAATTATGCGACTCTGCTAAATGAACAAGCGAGTTGAAAAGTGATTCCTTTGATAATTATACATACCCATGAGAAAAAGAAGCGTATTGTTTGGCACTTTTCAAAGAGAGCTGCAGTTGCGGGACCAATAACAAGGTAACGTATTCTCGAAAACTCATCATTTATCGAAAGTGAGTTGTAAGGATGCCGAGAAACTCTTCTGCATATCCAGATAAATAAATCAAACAACGTATAAATCTAAATATAAAGGTCAAAAATAACTTACGATCAGCAAAATATTCATGCATAGCAGAGCATAGCCGTGCCTTGTCCGTAACAAATCCTTTGTTTTTAGCCGAAGAGCATTGCTTATCAAGCTTAAAAATCTCATCCCCCTGATTTAATCACAGAATCATTTTAACGGAATCGTTCATTGAGGCTGCTTACGGAATTAGCTCAAAAGTGAATCATGTAGATAACAAAGCAGGAATAAAAACTGCCAATGCGTGGAATAATAACCTGGAATGAAATTTACCTAAAACTGAAAGCACTTAGAAAATGCGTGCAGTAAGAAGACAAAGAAAATTCAGAACACAAAGATGATGATAAAATAGAAGAAAGCACCTTGGGTCAGCTTAAAAGTCCAGAAAACGATGTATGAAAAGTGGTCGGAATTATCGGGTTAGCTATGCACGACAACTCATTTTGACGCACAAAACTCCGCCGAGCGTGATGGTTGGCTGTCACTAAGAGACTACATCTGTGTGGTCAAACGAAATCCCAAAGCTAATGTCAGAACAGTTATCACTCGCTTTCAAATCATTCGCCAATAAAAAGTTCACCAAGATCCCATTGATTTATCAAATTCGTCACCGAATAAGCAGGAACATTTATTTTATTCCCTATAATCAGAGGATAGATTTATGAGTAAAAGAAAGACGGCATCCACTCATGCTCTCTTAGGTGTTAAGTAAAACGTTTTCGCTGGTACTATATTTAAATCAATAGTGTTTGTGCAGGTAGGTTCGCTCTCAATAAAGTTATAAGCCAAAATATAATTTTTGATGCAGAAAATA